TCTGTCCCTCTCAATACCCTGTTTTTCCCTTAGTTTCCCTTTCTCTATGGTGGGTGTGTCGTGCCTAGAACAAGTTTTAAGTAATTAAATAACAAAGACTCAGGATAAAGGATCCTTTTTGAGTGCCCTACTAAATCTATTTCCATTTGTTTCTCTTTCAGAGAATCTCCACCGGACTTTTGGTAAGTTCTGGTATATCCAGGCCCTCCCAGGTCAACTTGGCATTTCACTGTAGTTCCAGTCACCTGGGGAAACAAGGACCCCTGGCTCCTGGTTGGGTCCCTTCCTCTCTTTTCTTTCTTTAAATAAGAAGTCATTTGCATTTAGGATTGGTAAAATCATAATAAAAATACTCATATACTATTTTTATGTGCCAGACACTATTCTAACTGCTTTACAAAAACGTTATCTTATTCTGCTTAACTCCTTATGCACATGATTTCTCTTTTCAGGAATATAGATCGTTTACACATAAACCTGATGTCTGGTTGGGGAGGTGAAACGAACAGAAAAACAAGACACAACTGTATCACCTGTACTTATATTTCAGGATGTTTCCATGAGTACAGAACATGACTAATCAGAGAAGACCTCATGGACAAATAGAAAAGCCACCAAGCCCCACTAGGAATTGACCCCCCAAGGACATGGTTTCTAGCCTTTTTGTTCACTGCAGATCGCCCAATGCCTAAAGACAATGCCAACAGAAGAGCACCCAAATATCTGTTAGATAAATGTTGCAGAAACTAGAAGGTGTCAGTAGGGCACAGATAGTACCTTCTCTGAGCAAACTTCCTTCACAGCCCTTCCTCCCAAGCCTGTAGGTGACTCTACTTTTGTCACCTGGCACACAGAGTTCTAACCTACGATTTATAAAATTAGACTAGTTTGTGGAACATGCACACACACACACACACACGCCTTGACACACCCAAAGAGGAGGAATAGTATCTTTGTTTTGGAGGACTTGACTATTAAAGGTCTTAACTCCTTTTCGTACCATGAATCTCTCTGGCACTCCAGTAAAGTCTAAAGGACCCCTTTGCAGAATAATGTTTTTAAATATACACATAAAATAGAACACATAAGATTGTAAAAACAATCATTGTATTGAAATATAGCTATCAACCGATAATCACATTTGTGATATAGCAACATAAATGTTTCTTTCTTTTTCTTTTCTTTTTTTTTTTTTTTTTTTTTGAAGCGAAGTTTTGCTCTTGTCGCCCAGGCTGGAGTGCAATGGCACGATCTAGGCGCTCTGAAACCTCTGCCTCCTGGGTTCAAGCGATTCTCAGCCTCCCGAGTAGCTGGGATTACAGGTGCCCGCCACCACACCCAGATAATTTTTGTATTTTTAGTAGAGACTAGGTTTCACCAGGTTGGCCAGGCTGGCCTCAAACTCCTGACTTCAGGTGATCTACCCACCTTGGCCTCCCAAAGTGCTGGGATTACAGGCATGAGCCACCATGCCCAATCATAAATGTTTCTTTAGCAAAAGTAATACATTAAGTAATGTAGCAGCAAGTCTAGTAACCTGTAATTTCTTTCTTTCTTTCTTTTTTTTTTTTTTTTTTTTTTTTGAGATGGAGTTTTGTTCTTGTAGCCCAGGCTGGAGTGCAATGGCACGATCTCAGCTCACTGCAACCTCTGCCTCCTGGGTTCAAGCAATTCTCCTGCCTCAACCTCCCAAGTTGCTGGAACTACAGGCCCAGCTAATTTTTGTATTTTTAGTAGAGACGGGGTCTTACCATGTTGGCCAGGTTGGCATTGAACCCCTGACCTCAGGTGATCTGCCTGCCTCAGCCTTCTAAAGTGCTGGGATTACAGGTGTGAGCCACCAGGCCTGGCCCAATAACCTTTAATTTCAAAATACTAATAAACATAAACAGTATTTCAAGATTTCTGCAATAACTCTAATGGGAATGAAAACATATATGGCTTCCATTGGTAATTAAGTCACAGGTACTGCTGATACTGTGGTTAGTTGTAACATGTTTTGCTTTGTTTTGTTTTTTCCAAGAGAGTCTTGCTCTGTCTCCCACGCTGGAGTGCAGTGGCAGGATCTCGGCTCACTGCAACCTCCGCCTCCCAGGTTCAAGCGATTCTCCTGCCTCAGCCTCCCAAGTAGCTGGGATTACAGGCATGCGCCACCATGCCAGGCTAATTTTTATACTCTTAGTAGAGACAGGGTTTCACCATGTTGGCCTGGCTGCTCTTGAACTCTTGGCCTCGTGATCTGCCCGCCTCAGACTCCCAAAGTGCTGGGATTACAGGTGTGAGCCACCACGCCTGGCAGTTGTTACATTTTTTTTGTTTTGTTTTGAGATGGTGTCTTGCTCTGTCGCCCAGGTTGGAGTGCAGCGGCACGAACTTGGCTTACTGCAAGTTCTGCCTCCCAGTTCACACCATTCTCCTGCCTCAGCCTCCAGAGTACCTGAGACTACAGGTGCCCGCTACCATGCCTGGCTACTTTTTTCTATTTTTTAGTAGAGACAGGATTTCACCATGTTAGCCAGGATGGTCTTGATCTCCTGACCTCGTAATCTGCTTGCCTTGGCCTCCCAAAGTGCTGGGATTACAGGTGTGAACCACCGTGCCTGGCCAGTTGTTACATTTTTAATGAAAGAAAATGTTAAATCCAGTTAATGAAAATAAGGAGGCAGTACTTTTCTCATCCAAATTCATGGACTCTCTGAATTCTGTCCCCAGAATCCTTTGGTGTTCTAGGATCCCAGGTTAAGGAACCAAAAAAGAAAGGTGGGTGGGGCATGAGGGGGAACACATGTTAACCCTGTTTGTTCTGGTGAACAATTCAGATCCCCACTTTCTGAGGGTGCCCTGCTGGAAGATAACCCTGTTTGTAATTGTGCCGGTTCTTGGACCCCTGGTTGCCTTGATCATCTGCTACAACTGGCTACATCGAAGACTAGCAGGTGCAGTGGCTGGGCAGCAGGCAAGACCACCAAATAGTGGGGAACCAAGCCAGCTTTGAATGGGAAGCTGAAAGAGAATAGAACCAGGGCTCAAGATTAGGGGAGCTGGGATTTCCCTATTCCTCTGTCCCCATGCCCAACCCCAGGCTCTTCTGAGAAACTGTGAAGAGAACCACTTACTGGATCTGTGGGGTCCCCCAGTGGAAAGGGCAGTGTGGGTCACTCCAAATATCCACAGGGAGGATGTGGGGAAGGTGCTATTCATCTTCCACTGATCATGTATTTGTTTCTTTTTGTTTTCAGGGCAATTCCTTGAAGAGCTAAGTAAGTTATCTTCTCTCTCTTATAAGCAGAATAAAAAGCGAGGAAAGGGAGACAGAAGCAACAAGAGGAAGAGGGGGGCTATTGAGAGATCACAGTCCCAGAGGAAAGGAGGAGCTGGAGAGCCTGGGTGGAGGGAAGACTCCTCCTGGGAGGGACAGGGGCAAGAGGCCAGCTGTTAGACACATTTACAGGTGGCAGAGAAGCTGGAGGCATTCCCATCTGCTGCCTGACCCATTCCTCCTTCACTGCCCCTAAGCAGGAACCCCACCCTAGCTGGTCTCATTGCCCATTCCACAGCAACTGCCCAGTGCCTTGCCTCTCAGACCAACCACTGAGGCAGGCATGGAGACAAGATGACCCCAAGGGCTTTTCTTCTCCCTAGTTCAATGGTTTTATGATACAAACTACCGACATAGATTTTTCAAGTTATTTTTTCCTTCTTCTAGGAAACCCTTTCTGAGTGATGTCACATCTTGGCAGGGGTGGAGGAGAGCCTGGTTGCCCAGGGATTGGTCCTTGGGGACATCTCATCCATCAAGTTGCATACTCACTGGCATCTTTGCTATGGGGACATTCCAATTTGCACTTTCAGGAACACTCTGAATTCCAAGTAGAATTGATTTCCCTTCTTCTGTCATCTACCTTTTCTCTTCCTTCATTTTCCCATTTTTATTATCCTTCTTTCCATTTCTCTCTCCAGTCTTCCACTTGGAAACCCTTCCTGGCTAAGGACAGGCAGGTGCCCCTCTCTCCATCAGAGGACACCTGTGCTGGAGAGCAACACAGATAGGATGGTCTCTGCCATGAACTGGAGGCCAGGAACCTCCTCACTGAAAATTACAGTATGATAACTTTGCAAATGGTGGTTGTTTCTTCCAAGACTCCAGCCCTGATTGCGCAGAACTGAGAGGCATGTGAAGGGAAGGAAGAGGAAGAGTGTGAAACATTGAAGAGAGAGCTGAGTGAACTGAAGAGTGAGGATATGGGTAGCCCTAACCCAAACCTGGAGATGGGGAGAAACCTACAGAATACTAGCCAGAGCTCCACCTTGTCTTGGCAGCCTACTAGGGAACTGGGGAAGCAAGAAATGAAAGCTGGGCAACATGCCTGCTTTAGAATGTCTTCCTTCTACTTACACATCTTCCACAGGTCTCAGAATTTCCTTCCTCTCATCCTTTTTCTCCTGTCTTCATATCTACCAGAGTATCCACTGTTTATTCAACAACTACTACTTGATGGTCAGATACAAACAAACAAGCTAGGTGCTAATTAATAATGATAAGAGTTTTGGTTGAGCACGGTGGCTCACACCTGTAATCCCAGCACTTTGGGAGGCTGAGGCAGGTGGATCACGAGGTCAGGAGTTCGAGACCAGTCTGGCCAACATGGTGAAACCCCGTCTTTACTAAAAATATAAACAATTAGCTGGGCATAGTGGTGGGTGCCTGTAATCCCAGCTACTCAGGAGGCTGAGGCAGGAGAATCGCTTGAACCCAGGAGGCGGAGGTTACAGTGAGCTGAGATCACGTCACTGCATTCTAGCTGGGGTGACAGAGTAAGACTCTGTCTCGAAAAAATAAATAAATAAATAAATAAATAAATAATACGAGTTTTCATATGCACACTTCTAACCCCTTTTCTTTTATATATTTCCTTCCTTATCCACTCACCTGTCTCCCTCTACTCCAGCCTCCTTACCCCAGAGGTCAGTCCTCAGGAAACCAAACACAAAGAAAGACCTCAGTCAGAAAGGCCATTTATTTATGTTTCAAGATGCTCACTGCCTCCTTTGTTTTGTCTCCTTTGCAGGCCTTCTCTCTTAGGCCTCTTCTCCTGAGGGTATGGATCCTGGGGGGAGATTAGTCACCTCCATGCTTCCATTCCTCCGCAGCCATAGTGGGGGCATCATGAGAGAAGCCAAGCCACTGGCCCAGGATCACCCGGCATTTATGGTGGCTGCTCTGGCACAGCTCCTTGCCTTTATAGCCCCTCCAGTGATCCAGAAGGCCCTCTTTCTCCCCAAAGGAGAGGTCGCATATAGGGCAATGGTAGCTCTTCTGCTTCCAGTGGGTCTGCTGGTGTCTGACCAGCCTGGAAAATGAACTGAAAGACTTGCTGCAATGGAAGCAGTAGTTGGGCGGCTCTGTGAGGTGGGCCTTCTGGTGTCTGGAGAGATAGGATTTCTTGCTAAAAGTCAAAGGACAATGCGAGCAAGAGAAGACATTGAGTCTTGAGGGCTTCACTGGATGAGAGTTGGATCTGGCATCCTGACAGGGGGTTCCAATGATGGGTGCCTTGGTCCTGGTCACAGATGCTTGGTTCTTAAGTACAGATGGCTGGTTCTGGGCCATAGGACCCTCAGTTCTAAATATGGTTTCCTGAGACCTGGCCACTGGTGCATGGTTCACATCCACAAGCCCCTGGATGGACCTCTGGCTTCTGGGGATAGGTGTCTGTAATTCAGCAGGGGTGCCTGGGATCCTCAAAGTACACTCTTGGTTTCCATCCACTGGCTCCTGGTTTTGGTGTATCTTCTGGTGGCGTTTGAGCTCAGACTGGTCCCGGAAGCTCTTCCCACACACGGAGCATGAATGGGGCCGGTAACCCAGATGGACACGGCGGTGACGACTTAGTCCAGAAGCATCACAGTAGGTCTTGTCACAGAGCGTGCAACAGAAGGGCCTCTCCCCAAGATGCATGCGCCTGTGATAGCTGAGGGACTTGGGGCTCCGAAACAACTTCCCACACTGGCTGCAGCTGTTAGTCAGCTTGGGATTGTGAACAAACTGGTGGCTATAGAGGTAGGAGCGCCTGCTGAAACACTTGCCACAGATGCGGCAAAAAAAGGGTGGCCCAGCCTGGGATGCTTGAAGCACCTGGGTCCTGTCCATAGACCCAGCTGGGGCAGAGAGGGGGCACTGGCCGGCCCCTCTGCATGCAAGGAAGACCTTGTCATCACTAGTCCCCTCATCTCTCAGACTGGGATGTTGTTCTCGAAGCTCTTTCTTCTTACCTTCTGTAGTGAATGAGGAAGAATAACACAAAATTCCACTATAAGAACTCCAACAGAGGCCGGGCATGGTGGCTGACAATTGTAATCCCAGCACTTTGGGAGGCTGAGGCCAGCGGATCACCTGAGGTCAGGAGTTCGAAACCAGCCTGACCAATATCGTGAATCCCTGTCTCTACCACAAATACAAAAATTAGTTGGGTATCATGGCATCTGCCTGTAATCCCAGCTACTAGGGAGACTGACGCAGGAGAATTGCTTGAACCCAGGAGGCAGAGGTTGCAGTGAGCCGAGATGGCACCATTGCACTCCTGCCCGGGCAACCAGAGTGAAACTCCGTCTCAAAAAAAAAAAAGAAAAAAGAAGAAGAACTACAACACAGCTCTCCATTCAGCCCAAGACACTTCTTGTCTCTGCCCTTGCTCTCCCACCCAACACATTCATCCTCGCCCTTGGGCCTTATAGGCTAGAAATAAGAAAAAATAAATTTGGCATTTCAAATTAAAAGCAAATAAAAATTTAACTGGAGTCTTTCAACACTGTCAGAAATGTAAATTTTAACTTACAACAACACTTCTTGAAATCTATCTTATCTCATTCTCATTATTGCTCAAATTCCCATAGACACTCCACAGACACCCGCATAATAATGCATCATGAACATTGGGCCACTTGCAGGTGACAAGAGGTGTTATTAATAATCAAGCTAGGATGAGAAGTATAAACCAGTACCATCCTGGCAAACCAAGAAGTGTAGTCAGCCTAGCTTGATATCTCTCTCAACTATTTACTACCAGGGGCAAGCCTCTCTTACTCCAACGCAGCATGAAGCCTATCTCCTTTGCTTCTCTTTTCTCTTGGACAGAACATTTTAATCAGAACAGTGTCATGGACATAAGCAACCTTCATGTCATCTCTCAATCTCTAGAAACTGAAGACATTTACTTCTCCTGAAAGACTTAGATCTTCAGCCCACCAGGCACGGTGGTTCACACCTGTAATCCTAGCACTTTGGGAGGCCAAGGTGGGTGAATCACTTGAGGTCAAGAGATCGAGACCATCCTGGCCAACATGGTGAAACTCCCATCTCTACTAAAAATACAAAAATTATCTGGGCATGGTGGCACATGCCTGTAGTCCCAGCTACTTGGGAGGCTGAGGCAGGAGAATCGCTTGAACCCAGGAGGCGGAGGTTGCAGTAAGCCAGGATTGTGCCACTGTACTCCAGCCTGGCAACAGAGCAAGATTGTCTCAAAAAAAAAAAAAAAAAAAAGAGACCTAGATCTTCAACTTGAAGTCGAGGGACTTGAGCCTATGATCTTAAGCTCTCTTTCAACTCCAAGTCTGACCAGGCTGGACAGAGGTTCACTAGGAGAGCATCTGTAGAGCATTCATCCTCCCCATCAGCTCTCCATCCTTTCAGGGGTTATTCTGGGACCTTTTTACCTTCCTCCCTGCTTGGCAATTCTTACCTGAAAGGCCTTCTGTGTTTGGGAGATGGACAAACTCTCTCCATTGTTCCTCTTCTTGCTCAAGCTTGGTGATTAGCTCTGGCTTATGCAGAAAGATTCTGGCTGATGTGTGGGAATGAGAAAGAGTTGAGTTGGTCCCAGGTGTGGCCCCTTCACATCTGATGGGGACAACAGGTTACCTCCTGTAGCCTTTGTTTAAGAACCATAACCTGGGACATGTAGATGCAGAAAGGAGACATTCAAAAGGTCAGCTGCTAGCAAAGTATCTGGTTCTCAGGAGTGACTTAGTAAATATTTGTTTGATGAATGGAAAAATTTGCATATTTTGAGAACACTGTCATCATGTTACAAGTGTTATCTTTGCCTTCATGCAGGCTATCATTTCTTCTCTTTACCACTGAGCTTAGTGACTCAGATCTTTCACACCTGGAAAGCATAGAACCAGGGGTCGGTGAAACTAACTGTAAGCTGATCTACCTGTCCAGGGAAACCAGATGTTCCAGGGCCCTTATGACAGGGGGCTTGCTGAGGGAAGCCCAGCCTCTTACCCACAGATGCTAGGTTCTTAAAGATTTCCGACATAACATCCTGGTAAAGGACCCTCTGGCTGGCATCTAGACAGTCCCACTCTTCCTGGGTGAAATTCACTGCCACATCCTCAAAGGTGACTGGCTTCTGGAAGAACAGAAGAGACTCAAAAAGTTTACATAAATATATGTAGGCATGTATATGTGTGCGTGTGTGTGTGTGTGTGTATGTGTGTACAAGATTAACATCCAGTCTCAAGATTCAGAGAATTAAAACCTAAGAGAAAGATAAAACCATGGAAGGAAGAGAGAAATATTAAAAGAGAGACACAAGGCCAGCAACTGTTAAGTATAGAAAGGAAAGGAGGCCGGATGTGGTGGCTCATGCCTGTAATCCCAGCACTTTGTGAGGCTGAGGCAGGCAGATCATGAGGTCAGGAGTTCGAGACCAGCCTGACCAACATGGTGAAACCAGGTATCTACTAAAAATACAAAAATTAGCTGGGTGTGGTGAGGCATGCCTGTAATCCCAGCTACTCAGGAGGCCGAGGCAGGAGAATTACTTGAGCCTGGGAGGCAGAGGTTGCAGTGAGCCAAGATCACGCCACTGCACTCTAGCCTGGGTGACAGAGTAAGACTCTGTCTCAAAAAAAAAAAAGGAAACGAAAGATAAAGAGAAAGGGAGAAAGATAAGATGTGGGGGAGAGGAAAGAGGATATGCAGAATATAAATAGGAAAGCAAAGCAAAAGAAAAAATGCTGCCACTCTAACAAATTTTAGGAAGTACCACATGAAGGATGCCAGGGTGGTGCGGGAGATGAAGAAAGGTTTTGCAGCTCCTTTTTCTGGATGTCGTTCAGTCTGGAACAATCTGAGATTTCATTTGACCTGCAGGCAGGAGCATGCATGAAAGAGCTCCTGGAGTCTAGGACCTGGACCCCACCTCTCTCTAGCTTAGTCTCCTCACCTTCTTCACCCATGCCTCCCTCCAGCAATCTCTCTTCATGGCTTCCTGCAGGGTGGCAGCTACCTTCCCCACCCATGGGAACATCTTCTGTACAGGTTCGATTGGCTTCAGCTGTTCAAACATCTTCTCTTCTGTGGTGTCTCTTTCTAGCTTTATCCACTCCTGACCTGGCGCCCAGGGCTGACTGGATTCCTTCCTGGGGCTATCTACCTCCCAGTAACTGGGCAGATGGAGAGTCTCAGCAAAGGCCCCAGGGTTTGATGTGGCTTCCTGTGACAAATGTATCTGCTCCAAGAGGCTGTCTTCCTTTTTTGTTCTGCTGTCCAAATTCTCCTCTTCCACAATCGAGAACAACTTTGTTTCCCTCAAAGCCTGGGCCACAGAGTTCAGGGCCCTGGTCACCCTTGGCTCACCAGCTGCCATTGTTTAGTAACACCAGGCTGGGCTAGGTGTCTGCCCTCTGTTCTACCCTGCTTCTATATACCTGAAGTCAGAGAAAAACAAAACATATCAGCAAGAGGGAGGGTAAGAAACAGCTTCCTTATTTGGTCAGGGAATGCCATTAGTTATTAAACCCCTGCTGTGTGCCATTGGATGCTCTCAGCAATGAGGTAACAATTACTGGCCCTGTCTTAAGGACCTAATGCAGAGATGCTAAATAATTTTCCAAGGACAAGTGGACATTCTTGATCTACAAAAGTTAATGTTTAAACCTAACGTTAATGTTAGACTCAGTACCATTGGAAATCATGTAGCTGGGGTAACCAGGCTAGGATCTGTCACAGATCACCTTGAGTGAGTCTCTTTATTCTTTCTGACTTAGTTTCATCAGAAATGTGAGAATAAAGGAGACACTCTCTAAGATCTCTTCCATGACAAAAATTACACACACACACACACACACACAAAATTCTGTGATCTGGATTTTCAATACATGTAGTAGTTCCCCCTTATCATGGTTTTGCCTTCCAATGCTTCAGTTACCCATGGTCAACCGTGGTTCAAAAATATTAAATGAAAAAATCCAGAGGACAGGCACAGTAGCTCATGCCTGTAATCCCAGCATTTTGGGAGGCTGACGTAGGCAGATCATCTGAGGTCAAGAGTTCAAGACCAGCCTGGTCAACATGGTGAAACCCTGTCTCTACTAAAAATACAAAAAGAAAATAGCTGGGTATAGTGGCACACATCTGTAATCCCAGCAACTCGAGAGGCTGAGGCAGGAGAATCACTTGAACCCTGGAGGCGGAGGTTACAGTGAGCCAAGATTGCGCCACTGCATTCCAGCCTGGGAGATAGAGTGAGACTCCGTCCAAAAAAAAAAATCCAGAGATAAACAATTCCTAAGTTTTAAATTGCTTGACATTGAGTAGCATGATAGCATGATGAAATCTTGTACCTTTTCTCTCTGGCCTGCCCAGGATGTGAATCATCCATTTGTCTAGCATATCCACACTGCAGACAATACCTGCCCATTAGTTCCTTAGTAGCTAGCCATCTCAGTTATCAGGTTGACTACTGCAGTATAGCAGTTGCCTGTGCTCAAGAACCGCTTATTTTACTTAATCATGGCCCTAAAGCACAAGAGTAGAGATGCTGGAAATTCAGATATGCAAAGAGAAGCCATAAAATGAAAAGGTAAAATTCTTGTTTTAAGGAAAGAAAAAAAAATCATATGCTGAGGTTGCTAAGATTTACAATATACATTATTTTTTATTTTTTATTTTTTGAGACGGAGTCTCGCTCTGTCGCCCACGCTGGAGAGCAGGAGCGTGATCTCGGCTCACTGTAAGCTCCGCCTCCCAGGTTCATGCCATTCTCCTGCCTCAGCCTCCTGAGTAGCTGGAACTACAGTCACCTGCCACCACGCTGGGCCAATTTTTTGTATTGTTAGTAGAGACCTGGTTAGCCAGGATGGTCTTGATCTCCTGACCTCGTGATCCACCCGCCTCAGCCTCCCAAAGTGCTGGGATTACAGGAGTGAGCCACCACGCCCGGCAATATAAATTATTTTGAGAGAGAGAGATATCATATTCACACAACTTTTATTACAATATACTGCTGTAATTGTTCTATCTTATTACTAGTTATTGTTGTCAATCTCTTACCATGCCTAATTTATAAATCAAACTTTGTCATTAGTATGTATGTACAGAAAAAAAAACAAAAAACCATAGTATATACAGAGTTTGGTACTGTCCGTGGTTTCAAAGTATCCACTGGGGTGGGGCGCGGTGGATCACTTGAGGTCAGGAATTTGAGATCACCCTGGTCAACATGGTGAAATCCCGTCTTTATTGAAAATACAAAAATTAGCTGGGCATGGTGGCACGTGCCTGTAGTCCCAGCTGCTCAGGATGCTGAGGCAGCAGAATTACTTGAACCCGTGAGGTGGAGATTGCAGTGAGCCAAGATTGTGCCACTGCACTCCAGCCTGGGTGACAGAGTGAGATTCTGCCTCAAACAACAACAAAAACAAAATATCCACTAGGGGTCTTGGAACTTATCACCTGTGGATAAGGGGAACCACTGTATACACAGATCTTTGTAAAGAATACTGCTAACAACCCAAGAGCAATCCCTTATTTAGGGCTCACAATGAGCCCAGCACTGGAGTTCCTTGCTCATCCTTGAAAATTTCCTGCTCAGATGCAAAACATAGCTGAATCTTTTCCTGCTGACAGCCACTCACCCACATCTCCCTTACTTGAGATAGAAAGAAAAGAATAAAGACCAAAAAACCCTGTTGGCTATTTTTTCCTTTCACTTTTTGAGAAGTGTTAATAGAAGTGAAAATACCAGCAAGGAAAAACACCCTCGAGGAATAGAGTTAATTGGATCTCCAAAATATTGTCATGAAAGCTGCATTCCTGGGATATGAATTTGATTTCCTTCCTTTCTTCCTCTTTCTTCTCTCTCCCTTTCCTTTCCTATCTTTCAAAACCATTCACACTCCTTTTATGAGGCATGCAGATCTTGGATTATTCTTCCACTTTCCAGCCAACCGCACTTCAAAACAGCCTTAATAAGGCCGGGCTCGGTGGCTCAGCCTGTAATCCCAACACTTTGTGAGGCCAAGGCGGGCGGATCACCTGAGGTCCGGAGTTTGAGACCAGCCTGACCAACATGGAGAAACCCCTCTCTACTAAAATTACAAAATTAGCCGGGCGTGGTGGCGCATGCCTGTAATCCCAGCTACTCGGGAGGCTGAGGCAGGAGAATCGCTTGAACCCGGGAGGCTGAGGTTGCAGTGAGCCGAGATCGCGCCACTGCATTCCAGCCAGGGCAACAAGAGCGAAACTCCGTCTCAAAAACAACAACAACAAAAACAGCCTTAGTAACAATGCCCTCAAGAACCTGGTCTTCCAGTTATCTGGCAGAGAAGACCTACTGCTGCCGCTAGTCCTCAAGATGGCCATTTGCTGGAGGCGGTAGGAAGAGGCCCGAAGTGTGACTCTAACCCCTGTGGGGACTGAATCTCTGCAGCTGTTGCTTGCCCAGGTACGTTTGCCTCCCATGAACTTCCTTCGTCCACGGGGCCCCAGACCTCAGGCCGGCGGGAGGAGGAAGGCGACTGGGCATAACTCATCATACTTTCGACTGTAAGAGCTGGAGGCCGCCTGCAGGCTTATCTGTACCTGGGCCTGTCCCCACCCTTCCAGAATGTAAATCCTCTGAGAGAATGTGTCGTCGCCATCTTTCAGTCCTTTGAGTGCACCCAATCTCTCTCCAACCCAAAACCCTCTATCCACACCACAGCAATTCTGAGAATGAGAATCCCCCTCACCCCTCACACCCCAAACAGCTTCAAGGCTTAGTGGGATTCGCCCTTGTCGTCACCAACCCTGCTACTCCAGCCACGTGAATTTTCCACCTGTCAGTCAAGCAAAATGGCCTTCCTGCAGTCGTGCGGCCCTTGGGTCTCTGCTCAGGGCTTCAAGGACCCTTTCCAGCCATTGCCCTGCCCCTACCCACCAGATCGCGGCCCTGGTGGGCGCTCCTGTTCCGGTCCTCGGCGCTTAGTTTGCCATTGCGCGCCCAGCTCCGGAACCCCAGCCTTGAAGCTTCCGGCGGCCAGGAACAAAGCCGGTTTTGCTAGCTGTTGCCCGGCAAAGCAGGCGCTTGTTAGCACCCATTGAATAGGCTTACGTGCTCAGAAACGGGCCCGTTGGTTGGGATTGCCTTCCCCGATGCGCATCTGCCCAGAATCTTCCTTCTGGGATGCCGACTTTTTCAACACGTGCCAGGAGCCCTTCCTGGGCCCGGAATCCCCAGCGTGCCCACAGTGGAGAGGGCACCTGGCTACACCGCAGACTAACCCACGTTTCCCCGGAGGACCCCAGAGGTTGAAAGCCCCTCCAAGATTAGGGGCGCGGTGCTCCCCTGGCCTGCCGAAGAGTCAGAGGAGTGGGGACAACATCCACCATCAGCCTCTACCACCGCCAACGCGACTCCCAGCCGCCGCGCTACTCACCTGACCCCCGCAGTGGACCGCGATTTAGGGGCGCAGGGTCTCCCGGGAACCAGCGGCTGGAGCGCTCCAGCCCAGCACCCGCAGCCCCGGCGCCGCGGCCCCGCGGCCCCGCCCAGGCCCCGCCCGGTTCTCCTCCCTCCCAGTCCTCCGGCCACCGAGAACCTGCCCCTTGACCCAGCTAAAAGGGTGGGAGATAATTTGACTTACTGTTTTCCAATTTGGATGCCTTTCATATGTTTGTCTTGCCTGATTGCTCTGGCTAGGACTTCCAGTACTACAATTAGTAAGAATGATGAACGTGGGACTCCTTGTCTTGTTCCAGTGGAGGAATACTTACAACTTTTCTCCATTTAGCATGATGTTGGCTGTGGGTTCATCACAGATCGTTTTTATTATTTTGAGGTAAATTTCTTCTTTGCCTTGTTTCTTGAATTTTTTTTTTTTTTTTTTTTTTTTTTTTTTTTTTTTTTTTTAGACAGAGTTTTGCTCTTTTTTACCGAGGCTGGAGTGCAATGGCGTGATCTTGACTCACTGCAACCTCCACCTCCTGGGTTCAAGTGATTCTCCTGCCTCAGCCTCCTGAGAAGCTGGGATTACAGGCATGTGGCACCATGTCTGGCTACTTTTGTATTTTTAGTAGAGATGGGTTTTCACTATGTCGGCCAGGCTGGTCTTGAACTCCTGACCTCAAGTGATCTGCCCGCCTTGGTCTCCCAAAGTGCTGGGGTTACAGGCCTGAGCCACCATACCCGGCCTGAAAGTTGTTTTTTCTTTTTCTTTTTTTTTTTTTCTTTTTCACTCTTGTCACCCAGGCCGGAGTGCAGTGGCATGATCTCAGCTTACTGCAACCTCCACCTCCCAGGTTCAAGGGATTCTCCTGCCTCAGCCTCCTGAGGAGCTGGGATTACAGGTACCTGCCACCATGCCCGGCTAATTTTTACACTTTTAGTAGAGACAGGGTTTCACCATGTTGGCCAGGTTGGTCTTGAACTCTTGACCTCAGGTGATCCACCCACCTCAGCCTCCCAAAGTGCTGGGATAGCAGGTGTGAGCCACCACGCCTGATGGAAAGTTTTTTGTTTTTATCATAAAAGGATGCTGAAATTTATCAAATACTTTTTCTGCCCCCATTGAAATGTTCATTTGGTTTTTGTTTTAAAGTCATTTCATGTGGTAAACCACATTTATTGATTTGTATATGTTGAATCATCTTTGCATCCTGGACTAAAACCTATTTGCTCCTGGTGTATCTTTACTGGGCTGTTGGATTCATTTTGCTGGTATTTTGTAAAACATTGCATCAACGTTCATTGGGTATATTGGTCTGTAGTTTTATTTTTGTTTTTCTCATGTTCTTGCCTGGCTTTGGTAACTGGGTGATACTGGCTTTGTAGAATGAGCTAGAAAGGAATCCCTCCTTGTTGACTTTTTTTTTTTTTTTTTTTTTTGAGACAGAGTCTCACTCTGTAACCCAGGCTGGAGTGCAGTGGCACGATCTCGGCTCACTGCAACCTCCATCGCCCAGGCTCAAGCAATTGTCCTGCCTCAGCCTCCCGAGTAGCTGGGATTACAGGTGTGCACCACCATGCCCGGCTGATTTTTGTATTTTTAGTAGAGACAGGCTTTCACCATGTTGACCAGGCTGGCCTCATTGACTTTTTGATACAGTTTTGGTAAGATTGGTACCAGTGCTTCTTTGTGCATCTGACAGACTTGGGCTGTGAACCCATGTGGTCCTGACCTTGTTGTTGTTTTTCTTGTTGTTGTTGTTGTTGTTGTTGGGAGATTTTTTATTACTGATTTGATCTCACTCCTTGTTGTAAGTTTGTTCAAGATTTCTATTCCCTCCTGGTTCAATTTTGGGAGGCTGTATGTTTCCAGGTATTTATTCATTTCCTCTAGTTTGTGAGTGTAGAGGTTTTCATAGCAGTCTCAATAATCTTTTGTATTTCTGTATTGTCAGTTGTAATGTCTCCTTTTTCATTTCTGATTGTGCTGATGTGAATCTTCTTTTCTTGATGATTCTGGCTAGCAGTCTATCAATTTTGTTTATCTTATCTATTTTTTTGTTTTGTTTTTTACTTTTTCTTTTTGAAACAGGGTCTGGGTCTGTCTCCCTGCATGAAGTGCAGTGGCACAATCTTGGTTCACTGCAGCCTAGACTTCCTCGGCTCAAGCAGCTCTCCCACCTCAGCCTTTCAAATACCTAAGACTACAGATGCATGCCAACACACCTGGCTAATTTTTGTATTTTTTGTAGAGATGGGGTTTCACCATGTTGTCCAGACTGGTCTTGAACTCTTGAGCTCTCAGCCTCCCAAAGTGCTAGGATTACAGACATGAGCCACCATACCCAGCCTTGTTTATCTTTTCAAAGAACCACTTATTTCATTTCCTTTATCTTTTGTACTTTTAAAAAATTGTTTTTGTTTTTGTATTTGAGACAGAATTTTGCTCTTGTTGCCCAGACTGCAGTGCAATGGCACAGTCTCGGCTCACTGTAACCTCCACTTCCTGGGTTGAAGTGATTCTCCTGCCTCAGCCTCCTGAGTAGCTGGGATTACAGGCACACGCCACCGTAGCCAGCTAATTTCATATTTTTAGTAGAAATGGGGTTTCACCTCTCGAACTCCTGACCTCAGGTGGTCCGCCTGCCTCGGCCTCCCAAAATCCTGTGATTACAGGCGTGAGCCACTACTGCACCCAGCCTGTATTGTTTTTTGTTTTTTGTTTTTTTGCCTCAATTTTATTTAGTTCTGCTCTATCTTTCTTATTTCTTTTCTTCTGCTAATTTTGGGTTACTTTTTCTTTACTGATAATAAAAAAAGTACTTGGTGTGCAATGTTAGATTGTTAATTTGTGATCTTTCTTCCTTTTTTTAAATGTGGACATTTCATTAACCTCTCTCTTAGCACTGTTTTTGTGATATCCCAGATGTTTTGGTAGGTCGTGCTACTACTTTTGTGGTATTCCAGAGGTAATTGGTATGTTGTGTCTCCATTTTCACTTATTTCATAAAGCAAAAAGTTTTAAAATTTACATCTTAATTTCATTGTTGACCCAAAGATTATCATTCAGGAGTAGGTTGTTTAACTTTCATGTATTTGTATAGTTTTGAGAAATGCTCTTAAAATTGACTTGATCTCTAGTTTTATTCCACTGTGATCTGAGAAGATATTTGATATGATTTTTTTTTAATTTATTGAGACTTGTTTTGTGGTCTAATATATGGTCTATCTTGGAGAATGTTCCATGCACTGACGAGAAGAATGCATATTCTGTGGTTATTGGATAGAATATTCTGCATATGTCTATTAAGTCCATTTGATCGAATTTAAGTCCATTATTTCTCCGTTGATTTTCTGTCTTGATGATTTGTCTCCTAGTGTCAGTAGTGTGTTAAACTTCCACACTATTATTGTATTGTTGTCTATGTCTTTTCTTTGGTGTAGTAGTATTTGTTTTATTAACTAGCATGCATCTGTGTTGGGTGCATATTTATATTTAGGATTGCTATATCTTCTTGTTGAACTGCTCCCTTTAGTATTATATAATAACCCCCTTTGGTATTTTTTATTGTTTTTTATTTAAAGGTTGTTTTATCTGATATAAGTATAGCTATTCCTGCTCACTTTTGATTTTCATTTATGTTGAATATCTTTTTACATCCCTTTACTTTCAGTCTATAAGTGTCTTTGTAAGTTAGGTGAGTTTTCTTTTTCTTTTTCTTTTTTTTTTTTTCTGAGACAGAGTCTCGCTCTGTCACCCAGGCTAGAGTGCAATGGCATGGTCTCAACTCACTGCAACCTCCGCCTCCCAGGTTCAAGCAATTTTCCCACCTCAGCCCCCGGAGTAGCAGGGACTACAGGCGCGTGCCACCATGCCCAGTTAATTTTTGTATTTTTGGTAGAGACGGGATTTCACTATGTTGGCCAGGCTGGTCTCGAACTCCTGACCTCACGATCCACCCACCTCAGCCTCCCAAACTACTGGGATTACAGATGTGAGCCACCGTGCCCAGCAAGGTGGGTTTTCTTTAAGCAGCATATGGTTGGATCATGTCTTTTTTAAGCCGTTCCACCAATCCACATCTTTTAAATGGAGTATTTAATTCATTTATGTTTAAGGTTAATATTGGTATGTGATGTTATATTCCTCATAATTTTTTTTTTTTTTTTTTTTTTTTTTTTTTTTTTTTGAGACAGAGTCTTGCTCTGTCGCCTAGGCTGGAGTGCAGTGGTGTGATGTAGGCTCATTGCAATCTCCACCTCCTGGGTTCGAGTGATTCTCCTGCCTCAGCCTCCTGAGTAGCTGGGATTACAGGTGTGCACCACCACACCTGGCTAATTTTTGTATTTTTAGTAGAGATGAGGTTTCACCACGTTGGTCAGGCTGGTCTTGAACTCCTGACCTCGTGATCTGGCCACCTTGGCATCCCAAAGTGCTAGGATTACAGGTGTGAGCCACCGTGCCCGGCCTGTATTCCTTATAATGTTAATTGTCACTTAGTTCCTTTGCAGTCTCATTTGCATAATTGTTTTCTAAGGCCTATGAGTTTACATTTTTGTGTGTTTTTTATGATGATAAGTATCAATGTTTAAAACTCGCTTGAACATTTCTTGTAGATGCAGTCCAGTGCTGATGAATTCCCTAAGCATTTGCTGGTCTGAGAAATACTATTTCTCATTCATTTATGAAGCTTATTCTAGCAGAATACAAAATTTGTGGTTGACAGTTTTTTTCTCTAGGAAGTCTGAAAATATGATTCCAATCTCCTCACTTGTAAGGTGTCTGCTGAAAAGTCCACTGTTAGTCTGTTAGTCTGATGGAATTTCCTCTATAGGTTTTTAGGACACTTTTCTCTTCTCTTGCTGATTTTAGAATTTTTTTCCTTTACATTGGCTTTAGATTGTCTGGTGACTATTTGTCTTGGTGAAGTCTATCTTGCAATGTATTTTCCAGAAGTTCTCTGAGTATCTTCTATCCTGGATTTTAAATCTCTAACCAAGGTTAGGGAAGTTTTCCCCAATTATTTCCTCAAGTAGATTTTCCACACTTTTTACCCTTCTTTCTTCCTCAGGAATACCTATGATTCATGGGTTCAAATGTTTTA